GAGTGAAAGTTGAAGTGAGAAATAAGAGATATGGGGGTGGTCTCGGCCGGTTCAAGAGGGAGAAGAGAGAAGAGGTTAAGGTGGTCATTACGTGAAGGTTTAGCATCTTAAACCTAGAAGTATGGTGGGTGCTTTGCATGGGTTTCCTCCATATAAAGGTGAGGAGTCACCCAAATTCAACAACCACCCTTTTCTCTCTATTTTTTTGCTTAATGGGGCGATTAGATTTTGGAGAGAGGAGAAGAGAGAAGTGTTGGGCTCGTTTTTGAAGTGTAACTGAGAACCATAAGCCTAATGGGTGTTTTCGGTTTAAAGGCACAAAAATAAACGGCCCTCGGCCCTAGCACCTACCAGAACCCTCAACCTATCAATCCAAAACCTCCAGATTCGAGCACACCCTCGGTCGGAAACTCGAACTGAACACAATTCATGACTAGAACTCCAACATGGTTTCCCGAGTTCTGCTATCAATCACCAGGAAAACGTGATACACATGCTCAGGAGTTCTACTGAACTCCCAATTCACACAACCCACAAACGAAACATCGACTTAGGTTGTCTTCCTTCATGAAAATGATGTGAAACTTATCCTATCTCCAAAACCAATCCTGCTTCTATATCACGAGACAATTCTCCCCCACTTAGATTTGACTAAGTCTTCACAATTCATGAGAATTGGAGAATTTCCAATCTTTCTCACTACCAACGATCGATCTAAATATAACTATCTCTTACCAATTAGTGCTCCATTACCAGCCAACCCCAAATGATCACACGCTTCCAATAACTATATGAACACTTCTTGAATTCCAAGGAAACCAACAATCCCTAATGCTCGAATGATCCCACCCCAAATCTTGAAGTCCAAAGATAGATGCTCCAACTAATGTCACAACAACGAGCTACTTCCCTTGACGCTTTCCCCCGCCAAGCAATAACGGTTACTAAAATCACTGAATCCTGAGAATGTTGAATAACCATTCTATGGGACCCTGTCCGCAAAACTCCCATATAACACCCTTCTTCTCAAAGCGTTCAAATGACCCTCCCGCTCTTGGATCTAGAAATCATATCATTCAGGGCTTCGCACCCTGTCTCACTCACCAGCTCAATCATTCACAGTTGAATTGCAAACAACCTTTTCCCTAAACTGGGCTACAACTACTCCCAAGACATAGTCTACAATCCTGAAAGTGCAATAGATTGCACAATCAGTCCTTACTTTCCAATACAAGAGATCCAAGGCGAAATGAACCTCCAAAATACTTATCCCACATCGACCTACCTGCGCTTACCAGCGCTAAACCACTGTTGCCAATCTTGGCGACCAACTAACCCCTAGTTAGAATACAACCTGATCCTGGGGTCACAATCCTGCTTATTCCTCCGCGCTCGAAACCTGAAAGGGCACAATCCTTGCCCTAGAAAACGACATTCCAATCCTGTCAATAAACCATTTTTAATTCCAGATGAATAACACCAGCTGAACACAATCATTACTCATTTCCGGAGTCCCCGCGACTCACATTCCGGCCTCGAGTAAAACCCTCGAGCCTGAAATCTAGAAACTAAGGTGTTATCCTCTCCCGCTCACCCACGGAAATATAACGAGTACAAATCGTCTTTCTGATCCCAGATAACTATAGCCCTCTGCTCATCAGAATATGTCCCAGTAACAAGTCCTGATATTAAAAAGCTCGACCAGCTCCTCCCCTTGCCGTTGTTACAGCTGTTGAAGCTATTGCGGAAGTCGTCTCAATAATGGCTACATAGGGCTCATCAAGGTATTCAACCATGACAGTCTTGATAGACCCAAACATCTTCAGAATCTGACCCCAGAAAAATCTCGATCACCTCCTCCCAGATGATTTCACCGACACGATCCACTAATAATGCTTGCCTATCCTGGCTATCAGCTCCCGATCCTAACTCGAATTCGCTCTCAAGACGTCTCGTAACCACCATTCTGGTAACACACCAGAAAGGTCTCTAATAACCCATATAATGACAAAGAGCCAATTCCCAACCAAACCCTAGGGGTTGTGACTTCCTTGCTACGCGTATGGGTCTTGTGCTTTCAGTAATACGGGCCCATACTACCCTCCACACCTACCTATATTTGTCTCAAGTATCATCACAACGCCCTAAAAATATACATAAACATAGCGAGCGCTCAATCTTCACTCCTAGAGGAACACTAAATACCTCATAACTGGCCTCCAGCCCTCACACAAGCGACCCATCGATGAAACTTCCACCAACCCTGCAGACTAGTGTATGCTAGCCATACATAACGTTGTACCCCATAGACTTTTGAATATTCGATCCTACCCTAAACCCTAATCAATAAGAATAGAACATAAGGCTAAATAAAACATTCTCATGCTATAAGATCTTAATTATATATAGTCGTGACGCATACACAAGTAACTATAGTAATGATGTCAATCTCATATAAGGAAACCCTAGGCTAGCAGGCATCATGTAATTAGGCAATTCTATCATGAAATTCCTGAAGATCCCTAGCCTAGTACTAGCATGTTGTTCTAACATATCACATAATCAAATAATTGTATGGTATTTTAGGGTCTACTTACTGGCTCTGGCTGATCGTACACCTGACATCCTCTTTTACTTATTTTGAAAACCATTTAATAAATTCATTTTAAAATCCTTTCCTTGATTTGAGATTATATTCACACGAGTGTTCCTCCAATTCACTCAAAAGAAGACTCTGATACCAACTTGTAGCACCAATAAAATTCAAGCCAAATTAAAACTTTTTAATACATTTCAAAACCATAAAGTTATTATAGTTTGTTTTCAAAATAGCTTAGACATCAGAGTATCCCCATAATCAATTCATAAAACCATAAAAGATGTGGAGCTGTACGATCACGCCTTTGCCTTCCTGCGATCATCTGAGGTACCTAAAACAATAAATTGAAACTGTAAGCCCGAGAGCTTAGTGAGTTATCCCAAAATACCAACACCATACCAACATAGCCATATCATATAACCAATACATAACTGCATACATCATGATCCTTCAACATGACTAGACCGCCTCGCAGGGCCTACAACCTATCTGGACCGCTTTCGAACCTTCGGCATGACTGGACTACCTCGCAGGGCCTACGGTCTATCCGGATCGCTCATCGGGTATGTTGGCCTACAACACAAAGCAGGACCGCCTCAACCCAACCCCCAATCAAACACACATGTGAACATAAATATCATACACTAGCATACATATATAACAATCAAACTGATCTAATAGATCATATAGCACATCAACATCCTATAATAAGGACACCGACCTAACCAGGTCACTAAGCATAAACATAACCTCATCCTAATTACAAGGATACAGATTAACATAACAACAAGCATAGTATCATCCTATCTACCAGGAGGCAGAACTAACAGATCATTATTCCTATCAAACAGTATGCATAATGAGCCTTCAGCCTGACTGGACCGCCCTGGGTACGTTGGCCTTCAGCATAAAGCAGGACCGCCTCAACCCAAACATACACATACATATGCCAACATACTCATAACACATAATCAATCAACAACAAGAACATATCATACAGATCATAACAACGTACTATAACCAGGATGTAATCAATAAACCTATCATGCCATAACCAAATACAATCCATAAGGGCTGGCCTTGGTGCCTTAGACCCTATTGATATAGTGAGGATAACTCACCTAGAACTGTTGAAGTCCCGCTGATGAAACTCCAATTGCTGGTTGACAGATTCCCAAACTGCCAACATCAAACAACACCCAATTAATAATTGGGTTCCATGCCCAAAGTCCAACTCACACTACAAAACCCAATAGTCAAGTAATAGGCCAAATCCCAACATATGGCCTAATTTTCCAAATTAGGCCCAGACCTCTACATGGTCTTTCTTTAAGGCCCATCTATGGCCTAACTTTCCAAGTTGGGCCCAAGTCCTCACATGGGCCTTACCCTAAAGCCCATCTAATTACTTTAGTCTATTAACTTGCTCTTGGATGGCCCACCAATAGTCCAATCACAAAAGCCCAACAGGAAGGCCCAACTCAAACCCCGAGTGAGATTAGGGCTTTCACATGAAATGATAATTAGGGTTAAGTGTTTCTTACTTAACCCATTAAGGACTTAATTTACTAAGGACTTAATCCATTAAATCCAATATTGCTTTTAGGTTAATTATGTCAATGATTATTATTTAATATTTCAAGTTATTAAATAATCTCGTGTGTGTCCCAATAAATTCTCAAAATTAGGGTCTTATGCCATTAGGGTTTTCCAAACCCTAATTAAGGTTTTCCAAACCCTAATTAAGGTTTTCCAACCCCATACTAGCCTATTAGTCCATTGGTTTGGCTTTTAGGTCACTTTGGGCCTTTTTGGTCCCATTAGGATTCCATTAGGCCACTAGGATTTCTTTGGGCCCATTAGAGTTTCATTTGTTACACATTATCCAAACATCCCCCAAACAGGGTCCAAACGCAATCAAAGCACACCATCACTCAACACGGCGGTCAGTGGCGACAGGAAGCGGCAGCCACCACCATAAGGTGGTGGTTAGGGTTTCTTTTATTATCTCGGGTACCTTTTACAATTTACAACTCAACACAAATAAACACACACACATACTAATAATACACACACACACATACACACAGCCACCTTGTGGTGGCCGGCGGCGGCAGATGGTGGCAACCACCACTTCATAGTGGTGGTAGTGATCACTTTCCAGATTCCGGCCAAGGTTTTTCCCACTCACACAATACAACACACGCAATACACCAACCTAAGCATACAGAAATCACACACACAGCCACCATCCATGGTGGCTGGTGGCGACGAAAACAAGGCAGCAAATGGCGGCAACCCACACCCGGCTTGCTAGATGCGAACACAACCACCCAAAAATGGTGGCATCTGGCGGATGGGTTTTTATGGTCACAACAGTGACTGAATCGGAGAGGGAAGAATGTCATTCACGGTGAGGGGTTGTTGTGTCCGTCACTGCAATGACCACGATGGTCACGATATCGAATCTCAAAATTATCCGCAACCCTCATCTTTGAGGTCAGCAGCATCGACGATGTCTCGGAGTGTTGTTAACTTCTTAACAGATGGCGATGGCGATGGTGGAATAGTTGGCGGAACCGCAGCAATGGCGGCGCACCATAACCACTCTTCTTTAACCACGAAAGGCAGTAGTGACGGCCATGGTTTGTCTTCGTTGGCAATAAAACAACACCCTCTGAATGTCTTGCTGGTAGTAGCAGTTCACAATGGACTTTGGTGGCGATAGCGGCAGCTGAAAGAGACAGAAACATAAGGTGGCGGTTGGGAGGAATTTTAGGGTTAGGGTTACATGGGGTGTTGTGGCTATGATGTTTATATATGGAGGCTAACAAGGTGACGGGTTCCACCTGTATCCATCTTCAACCATTTGTGTATTTTACATGTTTAGTCCCTATCCATAAGAAATCTTTTCAACTTAAATCCAACATTTACTCCTTTAGTCCCTGTCTCATAAAATCCGTACAAATTGAGTTCGAAATATTTACCAAGCAGCCCCTGCTTCCATAATTCCTTACATTTTAAGTCCAAATAATACCAAATACCCCTTGACTTCTAAAATCCTTTTCAAATTAAATCATGAAATTATACTTTAGCCCCTGGAAATCAAAATTATATCATTTGGCCTTGCGAAACAAACACCCCACTAATTATTAATTAATTTTTGAGCAATAAATAATATAAAATAACAATAACATTACTACTCAGGTTTTGGGTTTATTATTTAATTAATTTATTTTAAACGGGATGTTACATCCGACCAAACAAGGCCTCGAAGGGAGAGACTTTAATGCTTGTGTGGTAATTGTTGTTGTATGAGAATTCGATTAACGGCAAGTGAGTATCCCATGCCTTGCCAAAATCTATCACACAAGCTCGAAGCATATCTTCTAGTGTTTGAATGGTTCGCTCACTTTGGCAGTCGCTCTAGGGGTGGTAGGCAGTACACATATCAAGTTGGGTCTCTATTGCTTTCTGGAGTGACAGCCAGAATCGTGAGGTGAATCTACTATCCCGGTCAGACATGATAAATATCGGCACACCATGAAGTCTCACCACCTCTATTATGTAGATCTGTATTAATATCTCCATTTAGTATGTTTGTTTTATTGGTAATAAACGGGCAGATTTAGTAAATCGATCAACAATCACCTAAATGGCATCCAGTCTGTCAGCCGATTTAGGAAATTTAGTTATAAATCCATTATTATTCATTACCATTTCCACTTGGGTATCACTAGTTGTTGTAATAATCCCGAGGGCTTCTGATATTCTACCTTAACCTTTGAGCAAGTCAGGCACTTACTCACATAGGTAGCAGTCTTCGCTTTCATTTTTGGCCACCAATATTGTTGTTTGATATCCAGGTACATCTTATCCAATCCCAGATGGACAGAGTATCATATCTTATGTGCTTCATTCATGACTACGTCTCTGAACCGTCCAAATTTTGGGATCCAGATTCGGTTCAAGAAATAGTGTGCTCCATCCTCTCTGATTACGTGATTCTTGTCCATTCCACGTAAGGCTTCACTTGCAAAGTTCTCTGTTTTCAAGGCTTCCAGTTGAGCCTCTCTGATTTGTGAAGACAAGTGGGAATGGACAGTCATTGTCAGTGTTTTTACTCGGTGACCCGAGTATTCCTTTATGCTCAAGGCATCGGCCACCACGTTAGCCTTGCCAGGATGATACTTGATCTCTTTCATTCGTAGTCGTTTAGCAACTCTATCCATCGTAACTACCTCATGTTTAGCTGTTTCTGATTCAAGATATGCTGGAGGCTTTTGTGGTCCATGAAGATGATGCACTTTGTATCGTAAAGGTAGTGCCTCTAAATTTTTAGGGCAAAGACCACAACTCCCAACTCGAGATCATGTGTGGTATAGTTTACCTTGTGGGTCTTTAGTAGCCTGGATGCATAGGCTATCACTTTCCCACGGTGCATAAGTACACAACCCATCCCTTGATTGGAAGCGTCGCAATACATTACGAAATCTTCCGTTCCCTCTAGAAGAGATAACATCGGAGCACAGCAGAGGGCTTGTTTTAGGGTTTGAAAGGCAGCTTCTTATTTTGCATCCCAGTTGAAGGGTACGCCTTTTTTAGTGAGAGTGGTGAGGGGCTTGGTGATCTTGGAGAAATTCTAAATGAACCTTCTGATGGGTTTTGAGCATTCTAACACTTCCTAAGTGTACATGCAACCGTAATAACCTTGAATCTATGTTTTCTCTATATACATGCAAATTTCTTTTTCAAGGTTATTTCCTAACTAGCATCGTATGGGGATTACATAAAACATAAAAACTAGTAGAAATACATACCTTGTTGTTTCTTGGATTCCTTCAAGACTTTGTGAGCCTAGCACCCCAAATGTTGTGCCTCAAATGCTTCACACAACACTACAACCTTGGAATAACTAGAGAGAATACTTCTACACTTCAAAATCGGCTATGCCCTCACAAGAATACACTAGTAACGATTTTGCATGCTATAGGGTTTCTTTTATAGTGTGTCATAATTAGGAGTTACAAATGTAAACCCTAATTGTCATGACTCTTCATTTCTCATGACCCATGGGTTTGTAACACCCATGGACTATCCACGGAGCTCCATATGGTTATAACCACACCCATAAACCATGGATCATTAATCCACCATAAAAGAATTGATGATTGTCATAATCAACCCTATATATTTAATTAGTCTCACTTTGATCACCAAATTAATACTAGATTAATACTTGATCAAATACTAACTAAATAATACTATTATTAATATATTAGAACTTATAATATATTAATAATCATAAGTGCCTTATTCTCTCATTTAGTCTATCCAATTATTGCAATGCCATGCAACCCAAATGGACCATGTCGGGTCGGGTCAAGTTCATACCAAATAAATTTATGGACTTAGACATTATATCCAACAGTCTCCCACTTGGATGAGTCTAATAACTATATTTGCAAATATGACTTCAAAATCCGACTAGCAATCATAGCTCTTTCAAAGTCTCTCGGAACTGAGATGATGATGATACGCCATTTAAGATAAGTGATCATATAATCCTCTATTCTCATGATATCAGCCGGACAAACACATGGAACATGGTCTTACTTATTGTCCAGCATTTGTTTCTTGATCTCTGATTTGTTTCGACATAGAACTAAATTGAACACATCAATTAGGTTCTAACCGGGCCTGGTACATAGGTCAAAACCAAATCATCGAGGGGCCCAGATATCGCTTCTATTTCTAGAAGGAACAGATAAACTTCGACTAATATGCTTGTACTAACTACTTGTTGAATTGTTCACAAGGGCACGTTTTATAACATCGAGTTACCAATGCGTTTTCGTACAATCAATGAATAACCAACTCATAGTCAACAACTCATATCTATAGGTTTGATGATTTATATGATATTACCGTCTCACGATCACTCGAGATAAATTCCATGAAGTAATGCAAGTGAGCGTGGGTTGAATCCAATACTCAACCCTTATGAGTACTCATGAATGTTGTAGCAACCATTGCATTGTCTAAAGCACTTTAGACAAATCATACAAGCCAAATTCATGACAATCTTCATTCATATCTACTTCCAACATATGACTGACTATGGATGGTTTGAATAATTTAGTCATTCTGGAAGAACGACCTAGTTATTCTGGAAATCAAAACATGCAAAGTGTAACACAAGAATAATACTAATCTTATATGGCCCTAACATATTGAGTGTAAATAAAACACCTTTTATTTAATCACCATATTGATCACTCATTATTTATGTTTCTATTAATCAACTTTATGCTTGAATTAAAACATTAGTTGTCCCATGCTCCAAGCATGTACACTATGTTTTTCCGAACAACAATTATGCCATACTCTAAGTATGCATACTATGTTTACATATGATCCTCTCTTTGTGAAATAGATTAATTGGCCATGTTCCAATGATGCTCATTTCACAATTCCAATCCTTGTTGTAAATGCAAGAATACCAAACTCTTGCAATTTACTGTAATCTGTTAGAATCTAAACTTATATGCAATGATCCCCTTGTAACGACTATGAACAGAAGTCACAGAGACTTGGCAATAGACACTACAAAGTATTCCAATGGGAAACAATTCCATGGAAATGAAGTCTCAAATTCAAAGTACATTCCTTTGAACATCCTTCTTAGTATTAAGTTCTTTAATCTTACACAGATTCAAAGAATAACTTCCACCTATGGAAACAATTCCATATTACCATTTTGACTATCACTTCTGAACAAGAGTTGCCTCTTTACAAAATATGTCAATATGGTCCTTACTCTATACTTCTAATTATCCATGAGCAACCAATCTTTGGTAAACCTCAAATTGTCCTCGACAATTTTGCTTAATCATTTTAGTCATTTCCAGTTCTATTCCTTTTTCCATCTTAATGCCCTAGGCATTTGGAAAATTTAGAATGGATGAATATTATAGCACATATAATCAAACCTATACCCAAAGCATATGGGACATGATTTATGCTTTAAAATTTCTATTTGCCATGTTCTCAAAATTCGAACTATGAAGAGGGATGCCGTAATCATAATCGAATTTTGAGAACGCAACATATATAGAATTTCCTTATGTTGAACCATTCTAGCATAACATTCATATATATTCTTGACTAAAGTAGATTAAATTCTCAATCTAAGTTTGTAGAATTGGAATGAAGTATAGAATCCTCTCCCTTAATTATAGCAAAACAACTTTTCAAAGCAACTTGAAACTTTTGTTTTCTATAAATAACATTGCTAACATGAAATACTTAACATAATCATCATGCTCTCACTAGCATAATAATTACCAGCATAACACTTTATGCTCCCACTAGCTTTGACATGTACTCAGAAATCAACTGGACTTCTAGAAATCAATACTTTATTGACTTTCTTACCAAAGTTCATATTTCTGATACTAGATTGCTTTGATAAGAATTTATCAAAAACATACACCTTTCCTTAGATAGCTCACATGTTTTTCTAGACCTTTTTCAATTCTCACTAGTTAGTGTACCGGTTAACCATGCACGCTCCACTAACTATATGAGAATGCAAATATCACATCCTCTATCTACTTAAAATCTTCTTAGTGGAAGTGTTTCCTTACTATCATTTTCATGAATCGAAGAGAAACCTTATGAAACTTAGATTTTATGGTGTATGTGTTCTTTTCCATGTGAATTTTG